GGGGGGTTACAGCGATAACTGGTAGTGTCTTATTTTAGTAAGAGTTTTACGGCGCTAGCAACACAATATGCTCAATTGCAGAAGATTAAAGGTGTTACAAGAAAGGAACAAACACAAAAAAGGACGAGAGCCTAGAGACAAGGACATTCTATTTTTGGTAGGAAAGAAGGAGCAAACCACACCAGAGTACTGAGTACCCACCCGCCAACCACCCACGGTCTGTGATGATGCAACGGGGAGAAAAAGCTTGCCTCTATGTTGTGCTGGTAAGCAAGGGGAACCCCCTTCCCCCCGGACAAGCGCACTGAAAGCCCGGCCTATAGGCCAATGGCCCTTCAGGGGAAACTGCAGTCAATTCCCTGTGCTGTTGGCGGCTCTACTTAGGTTTATTTCTTCACTGTTAAGACACCGTGGAGAAGTAGGCCTGAGTACACCTCTCTCGTATAATGTATGGATTTGTTTTGCTAAGCCTTTTCTCAACCGGTCTGCCGTTTTACGTGATGAAGACATGTATTTGTCAGGAACAGCATAGGGTTGGGGGGGGATGTTTTGTATCAATATTAGACGGACTAACATTAATCATTTAAAAAAATATTCATTATCTTCAGATCAGCAGCAGCAGCAGCATAATAATCATCCTCATTGTCGTCATCAGTAGACATAACAGACAATTAAGCAGCAGTATGAAATATCACCGTCATCATAGCAGCAGCAGTAACAACAGCATATCACAAAAGCAGCAACAGCAGCAACAGCAGCAACAGCAGCAACAGCAGCAACAGCAGCAGCAGCAGTAATAGCAACAACAGAAACTGCATTAATAACAAGTTTAATTGCCCTAGGTATTTTTTCGGTCTCTGATTTTCTTAATTAGCGCATGTTTGTATATTAGGCCCCTACTGATAACTTATCTAACCAGTAAAGTATGGCTTTGTGGCAATGTTCTTAATGTTTTCCATTAGATAATAGATCTATAAGCAAACAGATTAAAAACACAAAGATGCCATATTTGTAGGCACTGTCGTCCATAGAGGCCACTGGCTGGGTGTTGAAACATTTAGATCTAGGCCCTAGTGTATCTGGTATAAAGGCACGCACCTCTTCCCTCTGTTTTACATACGTGAACAGACATCGATCACAGACATAGATCAAGATCGAATAATGATCGCAGGTGCATAGGGGTACAGACCTGAAGGAATCGTCTGGACTTGTATTTTTAAATATTTCTTTTACCGTGACAAGTCTATTCCTGACTGTATAGTACAGCACACTGGGCGCCTACACTCGGCATTTTTCTCACGTTCTTTTTTTCGGCCTTTTGTTTTTGGCGAACGTTTAGAATTCGCAACTTGAGCGGTGTCAGGAGTCCGAAGTAGGTTTCCTCAGAGCACACAGATGTAATATAAAATAGCAGGTTCTGTCTGAATGCGTATGAAAATGTTAAATGTACTGCGTTGAACAAAGCCACATACTGTTTTGCATTTTCATATACATATATTTGTAAAATTGACGAGAGAGAGAGAGAGAGAGAGAGAGAGAGAGA